CCCCGAGTCAGTCGCTTTTCCACAATAGTATAGATGAGATGGAATGACCAGGAGGAAAGAAAGAGGCGACGGCCGAATATACTGTCGAAAATATCCAACCATTGTGTGGGGTTATGTTTTATCGAGGAAACAACTTGCTGCACATTCGCGCAATTAGGTCACCGGCCGAGGGGTTGCTGCTTCTACCCCGCCCCCGCGCCGCCCCTGCGCCGCCCCCGCGCCCCTCAACACTCTGCGGCACTGATTAATGCGAGGTGCCTGTATCTAATTCCCGTGACGGGATGCAAAGGGGGCGCGGGGTGGGGCGCAGCAGCGCAGCATCCGAGCACTGATTTGCAACCTGTTGCGGGCGGGGGAGGGTTGTGGGCCGCGTCGGGCATTGTGGGCCGTCAGGACCGAAACATTTACAATTAGAAACAAACAGCACGGCAAAATTTTCCCTTTTTTGGTTTTCCGAGAGGGGGGGGGCAGGCTGTCGGTCACGACGACATAATAATGAAGGAATCGTGGTTACATAACGGTCGGATAAAAGGGCTGGCACCAGACGAGAGTTTTTGAGCCTGCGCCACGGGGTGGGTGAGATCAATTGTTTTCGAGCATGAAGAATCGTCGTGGCCGTGCGCCCCGCCCTGTACTGGGGCCTGCCTGCAGGGGGCTAGAGGTGTGCAGCGAGCGGCAGTCTCGTGATGAGGGCTCACGAGACTCCTCTCACAGGCGGGTCCGGTTCTCTCTGGGTCCGGTGAGATAGAGGCGGAACAATACTGATGTGTGCGGATTCCCTGACCAAAACAACACGAGATAAAGGTGCTCATCATGTAATATCGGAAATAGATTAGGGCGCGCTGACAGTGACACGTTACGTGACTCGCGGGCGTGAAGCGGTGTTTAGCATTCCCCGCGGCGAGCCCGCCAGGACGGCGACGGCCGGTGCCATACGGGCGGCGCGTGAGCCCGATAAACGCGGGGGCGTGGCGCCGCCCGGGCGCCACCGGGCCGCCGCGGACGGGTGCGCATTGTGAGAGCATTCTTTTATTCTCGCATTTCATGTGCACAAGCACTGGTCTTAGGTCGGAGTTGTACTTGGACCAAACAAACGATTGTATCATTCTTGGTGAGCACGCTGCGCGGCGCCAGCGGGGCCCTGCGGACGCACTGACGACCACCACGGTCTCGCCCAGGCAGGCAAGGGTCGCCACGGGTCGCCGTCACCGCGCCACCCGCGCCACGCGTGGTCTTGAATCAACTCGCATGAGGGGGGAGGCGAAGTGACAATGAAAGACACACACGCACACACGCACTCCGGCCTGCCTGCGCACATGTGTGTGGTGTGTGCGTGTGTTTACTCATTGAACGAGATAATTTATTGGCTCGCAGTTACTCACGAGGGGCGCTGGGCAGTAATCGCATTGCACCTAGGAGGCGCTGCTGATTTACAGCCGAGCAATTAGACGACCGGCCAAAGACCAAAAAAAGCTCTCCGCAACGCCGTCGCGGGCGGAGCAGGGTGGCGCTCACTTTAACACCTTTGATAAAAGCCGCTCGCGCCTGCACAGGCTGATTGGCGGCTCGATTCGAGCGGCGAAAAAACAACGGCCATAACAACGGCGGGTGTGGCAGCGGCGGGATGTGTCGCAGGACGTCGTGGGCGATAGATAATTGGAGGCTGGAGTGTACTGACTTATGTCACCGGCAGCGCTGCTGCTGCTGCTGCTCTTGCTGCTGCTGCTGCTGCTGCCGCAGGTCTATTCAGCTGAGACGGCCGGGCGGGCGGGGCGAAGGGGGGCGGGGCGGGGACGACAGCCACCGATCTATAGTTCAGAGAAGTGGCATTGTCTCGCGCGATGGACCGCTCCCAACTGCATCAGCGACAGCGCACAGGAACGCACCCACCACCACACACCCACTACTGGCGCACCCTGCCACAAGCAAGGCTCGGGGAATGCTGCCGGGCCGCCAGCGCCAGTGCCCCGGGAACGTTATTTTCGCGACAAAATTCAGTCAAACTATCCATCCGAAGGCTTGCAAGACGGGGGAAGGGTGGGAAGAGCATTGTTCGATTAAGGCGGTAGGAGCGTAAAATTTTTATTTCAGAAATCGGTAGTGTTTGTTACCAGAATACACCACCTCAAACCGTTTTGCTCTCCGACGCTTAGTTTTGGCGTCGCGACGCCTCAAAGTTCGAAATTTTGACAACTCCGTGACACATTTTCGGCGAAACGGCAAATCGCACAGTTTTCAAACTTCGCAGTGGGGTAGTCACATACTAGACCTAGTGCATTGTCTATTTTTCAAGGTATGAAATTGAATAGTTTTCGTCCTGGAATGCCTTGAAAGTTAGTTGTTTACAGGCCCCTATAGCAGCCAAACGGCTGAACGTATAGAGATGAAAAGTAGACCATGCACTAGATTGAACTTTGGTCTTTCTAACGACCTCGTCAAAAAGAATCTCAGGTTTGAGGTTTTCTCGAAAATATGTCACGCGTAAACCTCTGTTTCGAACCGCCTGAGACCTTTAGAGAGAGACAGCCTGCAGCCGTCTTCGTCGCGCAGAGGGGGAGCGGGAGGGGTGTGGGGGGCACCCCGAAAAAAAAGAGGCGGGTGGGATGGGGCCTGCTCGGCGGCCTCCTCCGGCTGCTGGCCTACCCTCACAGCAGGGGGGTCGCCGTGACTAATTACCGCACTTCTCATACGGGTTCAACTATTTGAAATAGAGGTTGTACAAAACTGGCATTGGCACCATTGGATCGGCAAGGAAAATGTCAACTAGAATACCAAAAATCATCGCTCAAGGGCAATTTTTAGTCAAATGACATGAACTAAAACCTACTAAAACTTGTAGCCTTTTCGATAAAAATTGTTGTAGAGACTTCGTTTTTTTCCACAAAAACCGCAGTCGGCACAAAACTTTCAAAAATGTTCAAATTTTCTCGGTAGGAGCACTATTTGCACCGTTCTCAACGGCATAGCCTCTTTCAGTCAGAGCACTGTTTCGCTAGCCTATTGTCATATAATAGTGTCTTTGGAAACAGAGGGTGGGGAGGGGAGGGGGCCTCTTGGGGCGCGGCGCTCGGCTCGCACAGGGGTCCATGTGGTGACCGGAACGAAACGGGCTGACTGGAGCAATGGCGAGCGGACATAAGTCCTTTTCCAAGCTTGCGAGCCTTCTAGCATGCACGGCATCAATTTCTTGAGAATCTGGCAGAGTCCAAAAGTCCAAGAATGAAAATTCTACGATAATTCTAACGGATTTTATAGTTGTACTTTTCGGGACTTGGTCGCCGGAGAGGCCAAGGCAGAGCTGGCCCGGAGCTCGAAGGAGGCAGGACGCATCGAGGCAGACCCCGGCGGCCTGGGTCCTCGCCATCTGGATTTGTCACGCGTCGCGGCCGGTGCAGTCCCGCCTCCCCCGCACCCGCCCGCACCCCGCAGGGCCTGCCTGACCGTTCGGACGCCACCCAAAACATTTAATACGCAGCCATTCCCAGACTGGCCGTACGCTCCTACCGCCTTAAGGTGATACTGAATACAGCTCCTCATTGCCTTTT